GAACAACATACATTAATGAGTCATAAATATTGTCTTATGTTGATGTATTCCATTTCCATATATACATGTAGTACTTTGTATACCATGTACATGTACTTTTATTCTTTGTTTGTTGCATGAGCCCTAAAGGCAAACATAGTATTTGAATAAAGAGCGATATATGGCAAGTGTCTCAATTGGCCCCTTAAAATGAATATCTTAATTTTACTTTATATATAGCTTTAATTTGTACAGCTATATATGCGACCTTTATTGGTCATTTTCATTTTGATCAAAATGCCGTTATTTTAGAAATATGACATCATAAAAATCACGTTTTCTCGCCATTTTAGCATTTTTTGTATAAAACTGCTTATTTTCAAGCAGTTTTTCTTCCAGAAAATATAGAGCGCAGCCTAGAACAAGTATTTTTACCAAAGATGTATCTATTGAATACTGATTAGTGACAGAAAAATTATGTATGTTTTACACTGCGCTCTATGTTTCCAATAAGAAAAAAACATCAAGAAAAAGGCATATTTTTGTTTTTTTTGTTAGATAGTATAAATAGCATGATTTCTCATGTCATTTACAGCTAGGGAGAGTGCATATAAATGTGAAAAATATATTAGAAATATTTCTAATACATGTATAATCTTTTCTACAAAATAAATATCAATTACACATATATGAATGTCATTCTAAAATGTTGATTTTTAGGGGGCCAAAATTGGCTCTTATCATATATACTCCTTTAGTAACAATTCAACTGTTATTTTTTTAGATTAAAATGATTGTATGTATGCAGCAATCTTGATATCATCATATTCTCAAAATCCTATCTTTAAAATAAAAACAAAATACATGTAACTACTCAACTACTCTATCCACAGCATAAAAAAAATTAGTGAAAGATTTATAGCACCCTCTGAATATCTTCCAGTCAAATCAACTTACCCACTTCTGTCCCAATGTTGCCATGGAGAATTGTGATGAGCAACATCATTTCCATGGCAAGTCTTTCTGGTGTCATGGTAACAGAAACACAAGCACCAATCACAATGGCAGACAGAGCCTCGGTGACCTCTGCCCTACTGTTGCTACGGTAAACAGCCTCTATCTGAGAACAGATCTGTGACATGTTTGCTTCACTGGCCCTATAAAGAACATCAGATGGTTTAAATGTTTGTTTTTGCGGTTGAATTCCATGGCTTCAATACTTATACCTGTAAATCTGTACAAATTCATATCACATGGTGTACATTCGGGATTTGTCAATTAACATTTACTGATAAAATTTTAAGCTAAGTAAATTTCTATGACTACAGGGGTATTAAAAAAAATTCAAAAACAGCCACAAGATCTTTGAGTACATGAAACATGTTAAAATAATAAAACATGACTAAAGAAAAATACGTTTCTCAGCTCTTGACATAATTATCTTGTACCTATTAACAAGTCCCTTGAGCTGCTTCTGTAATCTCTCCAGCTGGAATTTCTTCTTCTCATCACTGATCTGCACCCTCTTCCCTGGGGGAATATACTTCCCTGTCTGCCCAGAGCTCTTAACAATGTTCCCCTCTTTGTCTCTTAACCTCCCATAGATGTCTTCAGTAATTTCAATGTTCTCAATATTTTCATCACTACTTTCATCAGATTTCTTTCCTTCTTCTTCAATTTCATCCTTTTCCTCCATTTCTTCATCATTGCTATCAACATCATCATCAAATGTCACATCTTTTTTCTTCTTTTTATTTGATTCAGATTCCTTTTTCTTTTTGTCTTTTCTGACTGTATTTTCTTCTGTCACTGATTTGAATTTCACCTGTTTCTGCTGCCTGTCATCACTGGTAGATTTAAGAATGGATTTGACATCAGCTGCTTTTTTTGATATAACATCAACTACTGGATGATGATCATCAGAATCTGATTCCTCGTCTTCATCACTGAAGTCAAAATCTTCTTCCTCATCATCACTCTCATTTTCCTCATATTCTTCTCCCTCTTCCTCCAAATCATCATCCATTTCCTGCTCTGAATCTTCTTCATCTTTGACTACTGAGTATATGAAAGAAGGAAAAATCTTATTTTAGCCTTTAAATATTCAACATCAAAGTTACATCTCCGAATAAGCTTTTCATTGTCTATAAATCATATATTGCTTGTTTTGAAAATAAATGCAATGACACAAGTTTCTGTACTTGTTTTGTGGAGATTTTTAAAAACTCCATTAAATAATAAAAAGAATACATGTATATAGTAAGTGTAATCATTTTTGTGTGTCAGACTTTCATTTTAAACAAATTCAAAATACCTTTTCTTTTTCCATGTTCTTCTTCATCTGAATAATCATCATCCTCCATATCTTCAGGAGATTTGTCCAGGGCATCCAATAAAACTGTGCTGTGTCAAGGTTTCAGTGTCTAATAGCATTACAAACATATACATTCACTAACAATAAATTGTACATATATGTACATACATGTATATGTTTGAGAATCCTACATTTCACAAGGTACTGCAACCAAATCAATCTCTTTCATAGCATAAAACAAGAAAAAATAATAAAACTTTTCTAATTTGCCATACTTTAAATAATATAACATGTATACTTCATAGAATAACTCAACCAGCACTTTGCTTATTATCAAAATGTATCATCTCTTGAAAATTCTTCCATGGGACAATTAAAACCAAATTAACATTCACCACCATTAGAAATTGTGTACATAAGGATACAATCCAGTCCATCGTTGACAAAGGCCTGTGGCAGATTTTTACTCTTCCTTTTGTTGAGATGAAGGTTCTTCTCCAGCTGTTTTAACATTCTGTCTTCCTTCTTATTGTCTTCCATCAGCTGCTGCTTTCTGCTGTCTATTTCCTGTAATGTAAATGGATTGAACAGATTACTATAATTAATTAATTATGTCCGCTCTCAAAAAATTAAAGACACCTATAAAAATTCTTGTCTTATTTCCAGATTTTCTTTCAGAATGGTATTTGAAAGAAAACTCTGATTTACTTAGTATCAAAAATATTGTAAACAAGTTAATCCTAAAGGATCCTGATTAAAAAAATTCAATTCAGGAAAGGATATTGAACTCAGATTCAATAAATCTTATGGTCTTAGGAGTAATTATATATGTAGCTATATTTGTTATCTCTAACTACATGGGACTGAGAAAAACTTTGAGATATTCAATGATTGGAGGTATTAAAGGTTTATATCAAAACTTAAAGAATGATTGGTTGAGACCAATAAGTCACTGACATTTACTGTAAATCACTTTTTATTCACGAGAACTTAATTTCCGCGTAATTACGCGAGGCAATGCGTTCGCGAAAATTTAATTCTCGTGTATAAAAGTATTCCATACGATTATATAGAGGAACTAGAGCCGAGCTCGTTGCAAAGCAACGAATAGGTCTTCCGTTGGAGCTACGGATAAGAAGACGTAACCTTGAGTCTAGGTCAAGCCACATTCTAAAGTTCTATAAGTGAAAAATTTAAACCTTTTAAGAGAAGCAACTTGCAATGTTTAGCTAGGAAAAAGACTGTAAAGGAATATATGTGACCTTGAACTTTCCAAGTGACCTTGAACTCTCCAAATGACCTTGATCTAAGCAATGACTAGCTCTCGTTATAAAAATATTATCCATGTGTTACCGTCTGGAAAATTTCAAACATTTTATTTAGATATTCTCTCTGTCCATGCGTCCAACCAAAAACATCTTATCCTTGGGGACTTTGAACTCGAGTCAAGGTCATGTCCCACCCTGCATTATATCAGCAATGTTTCACTAGTAGAAAAATGGTAGCGAATTTACAGTTTCACTGTCACTAATTTTGACTCGTCCAAATGACTGGATATGTTCAGCCATGAGTTTTTTTCTGACTATAATCGAGGCAAAATGATTCATTGGGTTCAACACAATGTCGAGACTATAGCTCAACTTGTTTGTACTTATAACAAAGGAACAGAAAACTATAGCCATTGCCATCAGACCAAAACTGTAGAAGGAGTAGCGTTTTAAAGGAATTTCACATACATTTCTATTTTTTGTAATCATGATGACAACACCTTTCATCGAAATCAAAAACGATGCACTTAATTATGTATCACATTGAAGTCTTCTTGTGTGTCCAGTTATATTGAAATCAAACTAAAACTGTAAGAGGAGTAGCATTTTTAAGGAATTATATACAGAAATTTCTATTTTTAGTAACCATGTCAACACCGTTCATCGAAATCAAAAACAGATGCACGATATTTTGCATCTTAGTGAAGGCTACTTATGTGCCAAGCAATATTGAATTCAGACAAAAACTGTTGAAGACGTCGCATTTTAAAGCATTCAAAAACCGATGCACTATACCATGTATCTTAGAGATGTGTACTTGTGTGCCAAGTTATATTGAAATCAGACCAAAACGGTATGAAGAGTAGTATTTTGAAAAATTGTTTATAGACAGACAGACAGCTAGACAGACGAACGGACGGCAGACACTTTACTATCGCATCTCACAGACAGGTGGGACAGATATTTATATATCGAAAATAACCAAATTAAATAAAGACATCATTTTTAAAGCATTAAATCGTAGCAAAAAAGAAAATATCAATGGATGCGACACTTTTCAGACGAGGGAAGAGATATGAACCTCTCATAAATACGGTACACATATATCAGATCATTGCACGTCGGCAATCTAAAATGACACATATTATTTTTTTTTCTTTGTACATGTATAACTTAACCCCCCCCCCCCTAATTTCTTAAAAAATGTTTGTACAATCAAGAAAATCGGTTACTTTTCATAAAGACTACGACGTTGCTTTCATTTTCAAGAACCGTATAATAGCGAGTGCAGCGAGCTCAATAGAATAACGTGTAAGAAAAGAAGTTCGGAATTGTACACACGTCAAGCAAATTTTGTTGTGCAACATTCCCAGAGCTCCTTTACTACCCTATGTCCTTTGCGCGAACAAATAATAACACAAGAAACAGCTTTTTAAAAAGCTTGGCTGACTATGTCATCAATATCTATAGAATCTATGAGCATGATAAACTATAAACGTTTACATTTGGGGGGGGGGGGGTGTTAAATTATTTCACTGGAGTAAATTATGGAGATGTTGTACAAAACATAAACCATATATAATACTGTTTGTATCTCAAATAAAAAATGAAATCATGATCATGTCCCGCTGTAGATTCGAACCCGGGACGAAAAGATGAACACTTCTGTCCGCAAGTCTAAAATGGTTTTAGAGGATGACGTAAATAAGGAAAAACATTTGATTCATGCTTGAAAGCATGGCTACATATAAAGGTGGCAGCTGAAAATATGATAACTACAAGAAATTGGGGATCTAACAATTATGACTGACGTGTAGAATATGATTGATAGTTTCTTGGGTATGCCAAAGTATCAAAGATTGTTGGAAACGTGGGAAAAATAAATAAAGCTTTAAATGACCCAACAAACTTGACGGCGATATATGAATGCCATGGTGCGGATTCAGGAAGTTTTTCCCAGAGATGAGGGATCGACATCAAATGTTTTATTACTTTAAATGATGTAACTTCTAACTCACTTCACAATGTCACCGAATTGTTTGTTTGTTTTTTTTTCCAAAGTTCGACCGGAAAAAAGAACAGACTTTACATACATTTTCATTCAATAGAATAGTCCAGAAAAAGGGTGCAAAAACCTACATGTGACATTTTGGCGCGAAATAATAGCGTCACCCCTTACCTAGAAGACAAATGGACTAATCCAGTAGTATAGAAACGCAGAAAAAAAGGTCAAACGGATCTATATCCGTATAAGAACTCGCATGAAATTAATATATGCTAGCAAAAGGCTAGAGAAAATAAATACTTCAATGTATTATATTAGCAATAAGTTTATTTTTCTGCTAACAGAATATATAACTGTTGTTGCTGAAATGCATGTAACAAATCCGATGATAATCAGCATGCACAAAATTTTGCTGGCTAACTGTGACCTCTTCGAACCCTATAGTATTGATCCTTAGCGTGACGTCAGGCAATAAAAGGCTTTCAGTTTGAAGAAATATTTCAAAAACTTTTCCGCAAAAAATATGCAGTTATTACTAGCTTACTCTAAAGTCTTCTATCGTACAGATGTACTAGCGTACTCTGTTTAGTAGGACCGGTTTTTTCAGTGGGTGGCTCAGTACAACTAGGGCTGGGACGATATATCGAGATATCGATGTATCGTGATATATGTGAGGACGATACACATATCGAGACATTTGAAAAAATATCGAAATATCGCCCAAAAAAATCTGACTCCTGTTTTTCTTTGTTTATTTAACATTTGGGGTTTAATATATAAAATAAATAAGTTAAATATAAATATAGATATGAAATAAATAATAATTAACACACTTGAGTAAAATATTTTTGTTTTACAACATATAAACAAATATTTTGAATAAATTATTCTCATTTGCAAAGAAATAATTTGTTTATTTCAATGCAAAAAAAGATTTTATAAGCAATTAAACATATCGTGATACATATCGTATCGTGTCTCAAATATCGTGATACGTATCGATATAGAAAAAGTTGTATCGTCCCAGCCCTAAGTACAACTATTCTTTTTCTGCAGCTATACTGTGTATGAAGTTTGATTATTTTTAAAAATATCTTGGTTAGTTTGTTTGAAACTGAGCTTTGAACTTAGCTAAAGGCAAAGTGTGACGGAAGGAGATAAGGCAGGATGGAAGACGTCCGACATGACAAACATTATATCCCAAGCCATATTCATGACGGGGCATAGAATGATTATTGGTTTACATAAAAAAATAGATTGTGACTTTCTTTCGGAATTCAACACCAGCCTTAATCTACATGTATATACGCATGTACAAAAACAAATCAACCAACTAACATTCTCGGCTCATGCAGAAGGAAGACATTGTATATTCATTTTAAATATGTTAAAGGGGGGGGGGGGTACTTATAGTGATGAGAGGAAATTTAACCATGTGTCGGTCCATGAAACATGAAAGATTATTTTTGGAATGTTTGTATACAACAGCGTGGCTTTCTTTGAACTAAATCAGAATTTATTGAAATATTTAAAAATAATTCTTTCAGGGACGCCGTGATATATTTGGTAGTCTCTGTAATAACTGTTCGGATATAGCACAAGCCTTTAGATCGCTTAGAAAAAAAATTGAGGTGTTGGAAAAAAATACACACAATTTTTTTTCTAAGCGATTTAAAGGCCTGTGGGATATAGTGTCTTGAAGGTACAACACCTTTTTCTTTAAATATTACCAAAGGATTTGCTGATCCTTTTTTTCCGTATAGTCGAAATGCATGGGAGAAGGGAAAAAACGTATGTGGATTAATCAAATACAAATTGATGCGTTGTGTTTTTAATCTAAATAGACACGTTTTTTTTCTTCTCGTTTTCCTTTTTTGTAAAATGCCGTTTGCTTTGTTTAAGAAATAATTGTCTTATTTTTCGAATTCTTAAAAACTTTTTCCTACGCATTACCAATGTGAGAAGAGAAAACAAAACGTCCTCAAACAATTTATTTCTAATGATGAAAACACCGAATGACGATGAGGATAATTAAGGTGAAATTATTTACTGAGACCCTAGTATCTACATTTCATGTCACCAACATTAACAATGACTGACCGGGAGGACGTTTGGTAAAGAATTAAAATTGATGTTTTATCGTCGAGATACTGGTTAATGATAAATAGCATTAACGAATTTTCAATTTTTTAAAAATCGTATTCTTAAACTTTGGATGTACATGTATATATTTTGGCCGTTATTCTAGGCAAAGTGCATTCATGTATATTTATACTTACATCGACTGAACATGTACAAGCATGTCAAAACGTGCAATGTTGAGATATTCTGTTTATTCAACGAAAAGGTATATTATTTTTGTTCAATAACATTTTAAAGTTTAGTAGCAAATAACTGCATACTCAAAAGTGCTTAATTTAACGTTGGATGTTTTCCCGTGAATTAGAAACTTCACCTCCACTTACAACTACAATGCATGTGTACATGTAAGTTTAATACTCATAAAACAATATCCACCTCGATAAAAACAGAGGGGGGGGGATTGCAAACCAAGGTAGTGTTTATTCGGCTATCAAAATGCATAAAACTTACAATGACTAAATGTACAAGCGATTACGATTAATTTAAACAAGCTGAAATAGAGTGAAATGAAATGATATGAAAGAAACGACATATTTTAAACCCAATTTTCCATTTGTAACTATCGGAGTACACAATGGATTTTCATATATGCCCACTGTTCTCTGCAACCACGTGCTTGTAAACGAGGACCGGGCAACACAACTTTAGACACAAAGTGACAAAGCTGGATATAACCTGTTTGCTATAACGGTATTACAAATACCTGAACAATAGTATATTGTAAATTACTTTTTATGTTCAATGTTTATTTAATCTTTAAAAAAATGATACCTCGGTAAATGGAGAAACAAAAGAGTGATCATGGTAAAAATAAAACGCACATGTAAAATAATACCTATCACTATCCATCACTAATTATAATTATTTGCCGAAACCCCTTCTCAATTACAATTGAAATAAAATACATTACACAGAATAGAGTTTTTTTTTTTTATTTTGCGAGAACAGTCCAAAGAAAGCGAACACAGTTCAAAATAATTTTATGCACCAGTGTTTGGAATTACGATTAAATATGAAAGATGGGTAAAATAATCTTATTGAAACGCGATGTAATTAAAGACACAGTTTTCTATTAATTGTGAAGTCTTTCTACACAATGGTCTAATACATTCACAAACACTTGCTTTGTTTATTTTGCGAGAACAGGCCAAAGAAAGCGAACACAGTTCAAAATGATTTTATGCACCAGTGTTTGGAATTACGATTAAATATGAAAGATGGGTAAAATAATCTTATTGAAACGCGATGTAATTAAAAACACAGTTTTCTATTAATTGTTAGGTCTTTCTACACAATGGTCTAATATACAATCACAAACACTTGCTTTGTTTATGTCCACAGGTGCTTGGTACACTCGTGACCTACATGTAGATCGACAGCGTGGGATTTGTGGCTTTGATTACATAACTGTAAAACATCTCGCTGAACAATGGGATCGTAATATGTATACAACTAATGATCGTGAATTATTCAATGTATAAAGTTTAAGATTAATTATATAGTTTGTTACAATGATAAACGTAGAAAGGTAGATTTTATATCTTCCGCTTTTAAAGACGTGTTCACTATAAAACTAATTAAATTTTATAAAGAAAAATAGAAAAAGTAGTTGTAATACATGATTTAATAGTTAATCATAAAACACGTTAAAACCTTATTTTGAAGAAAATCAACATAAAATACCGTAGGGTATATTATTTACAGCAAGTTATACACATGTTGAGGTCAGATTTACTTGCCGAATGAAAACGCTACATGTTTACCTGACCTGCTTTCGACTGCATATTATGCAATAACCCCGGTATATTCGAACAAATAAACATTCCTATCAGATCAAAAGGGTGTTAAAGAACAATTTTGCTCGATATATCTAGATCGAAATATTTACCGTTTTTGAGTTATAAAGCAAAAACTTTCAAGCTCCAGAGATCCCTAATTTTAGGGGCCAGCCCCTTTTCTATAGTATTAAATGAAAGCCCTTGCAATTATGCACAACTTTTGTTCAACATGTCTTAACAAAATATTTTTAGTTTTCAAGATAAAAAGGAAAACATGTGTAAATTTTCGCTCTTTCAGGCATTCTATTTTTTGAACCCTGTATATCGCCATTTTGAATAGAGAAATCGAAAAACAAAAACCGATGTGCACAACTTCAATCCTTCTGTTATCAAAAACCAGTAAAATTTCTGCTCCAGCTCTAGTGGTCTCCGAGCCTTTGTCTGGAAATGAAAGCCTATAATTTTTCGTTTAAAGGGAAATAACTCAAAACCGGAAGTGACTTTTTGAAATTATTGACAACATTCTGACAGAGTTTATTACCGTCTATCATGTCTGAAAATTTGAACAAAATCCATTAAAAAATGAGCGAGATATGAGGCCTCAAAGTTGGCGTCTAGGAAGAAAAAAAAAAAAAGAATAATAAGAATAATCTTAATCTTCAGAATCAGTAGAAGGTCTTCCGTTGGAAACGGAAGACCTTAATAACAACTCTTCGTAAAAATTATGTCTCGCTTACAAAGAGTCAATGACAATCTCGCGAAAATAAGGTGTCTCAAAAATTTAGTGATCTACAGTATTCAAACTTAAAGATACTGAAGTTCATCTGTATATTTCATTTCATTCTTTCTCTTGAACTTTCCTCTTCAAAACCTACTTCTTTTTCTTTCATCTTCTTCATTTCTTTCATTCTAGCTTTTTGCTTCTTTTTCTTTTCTTTGAGTTTTTGCAGTGATTTCTTCTTTGTGTCTGTTTTAATAGCATCTTCCTTAGATTTAGTCCATGTCTGCATATTTGGAAGCTGAAAAACAGAAATTTGTGATAATTCAATGTATATTCATAAAAGAAAGAATAAAACCAGAAGAAATCAATGAGTACACTTTCTTTTAACCAATTACAGTAAAACTTTGTTACAACGAAGTCACTGGGACTTATGAAATTACTTTGCTAAATCCATAATTCCGTATATCTAAATAAGGAATTTTTAAACTTTATATAGGATCCAAGATAACTTCGCTGTATTTGTTAATTCACAATATCCTTGTAACTACTAATTTATAAAATGAGTTTTACTATACATTTGATTTCACCAATAAAGAGGGTTAAATGTTCTTTCACCAAAATTCTAAAGTGACCTATGTGGGAGTTGGCTCATTTTACATTTTATTTATGTACAGCTGAAGGCAATAGCTCCTTCTGTATTGTATATAAAAGAACACCATTCAACGAGTTGGAGAAATAAAATATAAAATCACATTTGATTTCTGCCCAAATTGATAAATAAATACATAACTTGACAACTTCAGGAGGTTGATGACATGCCCAAAAGAAAACACAACATGGAATATTTGTTTCATCTTATACAATTTCTGGAAGATTTATTTCATACATCATGTACATGCTTTTTAAGATAAGAACTGACGTATTTTAAATCCTACTCTGATTCTGTATACAGTAAAAGAGCTCCTTTTTTTTGATATTTGGGAAGTTAATGTATATATGTGCCTCTAGTACAATGTTTGCTATGTAGAAGTGGCTAGACTTTTCTGCAATGTGAATGTCATTGAAAAGAATTTTGCACCAATAACGTAAAGAATTGAGAGATCATTAAAGAACATTGGGATTTCTAAGGGTTAACATCAATAACTAGAGAAGACAGTACATATAACGTAAAGACTTTTCTTTTGAGTAATATTCAACTCACAATTTAGATAAAGTTAAACATGAAAAATATAGAAATATCTGTATGTACGTTTCAAACAATTTACCTCTCTCCCACATCGATATGCATGTTTTCGAGCTTTTTTAAGTTTTCTCTCGTCCTTCCTCCTTTGTTTTCTTGAGTACAATATGTCTGTTTTTATCAAAGATCGGTGTTTATCTGAATCATCGACAGCCTTCGCGAAACTCAACACATCTCCTCGATATTTCTTTAATGCGGGGGCTTCTTTGGCTTTACACTTTAGAGTGAACGCTGTTCGCTTCCTATTACTCATTCTAATTAACAAAATTGGTAAATAATAAAAAATAAATACTGACAATTTGATAAACACGTTTGATATCAGGGTATTCACTGACTTCACGTCTTCTCACATGGGCGCAGCCATATTGCTTTTGATAATTAAAATTGCATATGTCGTACCCGATGTAATTGTTTGTTCGTGAACTGTCATGTAGTCTCCTGCAACCGGGGAGTTGGGGATGATAAGATTAATGACACTTTGCACACATGAGCATGCATGCAATTCAAATGTAAAACAGAAAAAAGATGTTCATCTTTCCAAAGTGCTTGTGTACCGATAGTATTACGTACGTCATAAGCAATTTACGTCACAATGAATACAGTTTACGTTATGTGATTATGACGTCAAAAATAATTGGCTTATTTCCTTGGGTAAGTAACACGGTCAACACGGTAGGAATTTTATCAAAATATTTTAAGGATATAGATATATGTGATTGACGTTTAAAGTGTTTATCATGTAAAAAAAAAAAAGTGAATTAATTGCAGATTTTTCTCGATAAGTTAAGGTTTAGCCAAGCGTACTAATACAGTGAATGTTTTGCTATTTTATGTGAGACTTAATTTATTGTGCATCACAATCTTGAATATGATTTGAAGCTACCATATATGTTTTGAAAAAGGTCTTGCTCAAACTAAAACCACTCACATTTTTTTAGATTTAATTAAATACACATTTAGGTGTATGTTCAACGTATCAAAGTATATGTATAATTCTATTATATTTGAGAATAACTTAAGAGTTTTACTTTATGTACGTGTCACATCCAAATACAACGAATCTTGCATTGATTAATTTTATTTTACTAAAAATTTATGTAAGTATTCTTTTCATTTTTATAGATAGATTAACATGAAAGATCCATAGAATGGGGATATTTGGAAATGGTGCGCTCGGTTTTGGCCACTGGTTTGGATCCAAGCGCCAAATTAGCCAAAGTAGAAAAACCAGCCAAAGCGGACAGAATGATCAGGCGCGCCGATTTCGATTCAAGTTTCTTAAACGTTTTCGATCATCCGGCGGATCTAATCAAACACTCCCAGAATTCCCAATTTCAAAACATTTTGTAGACGCACTCAAAGAAGAGGGCTTGCTAGTTCCAGGGTCAAAAGACCATCCGGCCCTCAATATTTGTGTAGGGATTCAAGATGATGAATTACAACATGATAGGAGACTGAGATACAGGTCGTACGGAAAATCGAGATGGGATGACGTTTTTGCCACCCCTGGCGTCCGCAAAGTTGCTCTAGAAATGGATGCCAATGAGCCAATAATTGACGAGCTGCCAGTCTCGCTTTGGTTAAACTGTGTTGATCCCATACTTCCAGCTCTCATTTCTCTCAGTACAATGCAGAGGCGCAGAACAAACCTTACTAAATCCAGGTTAGCTTTAATATCAAACTTTCCTTAATAGTGATTTACCCTATTGTAAGGTAGTAAATTCTCATGCTCTAGGATAAATTTAAAATAACTAACATGTCTTCCCAATATTTTCTAATATAAATCAAACAATTTTTTTCTGCAGGCCTAGGATAAAAATATGTGCGAAAATGTATTGGATATTGTGCTTTATGATTGCTTTTGAAAAAGATGTAACTGATGGTCGTTGCAAAATTTTTTAAAAATGATTGCAGTAATGATTAGAACCTCAATTTAGCTATTTTTATCTCTTTTCTCAAAATTTCTATTTGATTTCATTATATGTTCTACATGTATTTAATTTTTTTCAAGGCCCTCAGCTACTCCAGTACAAGACCCAAATGAAGTATCCACGGATCATGGTGATTTGGACCGAGGACCCCCATGGCTTAATATTAATGTTATTGGTCCTCAAAATGTTCACATCATTTACCTGGTAAATCTACCCGCAACTGCTGAAGTACGACCAACAGATTTGCTTGGAAATGAGTACTATATGGAAAAGATGCGGATGTTCGATATCGTCACGGTAAAGTTATTGAAACACATTTTTGATGTGATATTACCACATGCATTATAAAATATAAACATTTTTCTATTTGGCGTATTTGCTTATTTTTGATAAATTTTTTTTCTAGAATCAAATTGCATCATTTTTATTGAGAAATAAAAGGCATACTAGTATTTAAAATTTTCATATCTAGGCACGGAGGGGTCGCAAAAAAGTACGATCAAAAATCACAAATATTTCTCGATCACGTGGTCGCAACCCACTGATGAACAAGAGCCAATCAGACAACGAGGAAGAAGAGGGAGGGAGTTACCATTCTGAATCAGAGTCCGGAAACGAAGGAAATTACGATTTGATCCAAGATCTCTTTGATAATGGTGAATGATTTGGCCGATTAAACAATAGCGAATGCGAATAGACATAAGAACAAAAACTCAAAACATTATGTATTACATGTGTATAATATTTGATTATTTTTTTTTTAATTTTGCATCAGTATAATTATGTAAATTTCAGATGAACAATGCTCTGTGTACACAATATTTTTTTTATATTCAATAAATTTTGCAAATTAATTTCATTTAATGTATTTTTATGCAAGACTTACGCATGGAAAACTTAATTCATATGGTACGTATATTCTCTAGGGTCTCTTTGCAAAATTAAACATTTGGTATACAAATGTTTAATTTATAAGTGTTTATTCAATGTCACATTGTGTGTCAAAATTCCAGATCGATGAACTTGAAATTCAAAATATATAATATGCAGATTTGGGTTAAGACCTATTCATAGAAGCATTTTTCAATTTTGAGTGGGGGGAGGGGGGCAACCATACATTTACATTAGAGGGAGGGGAGGGTTCTACAGAGCAAAAATTCCTCACAGATCCCAAAAGGCATCAAACATTATTACAGATTATGAGTAGGCACAAGAATCATCGACCTCTAACTAGAACATTGATCAAATGATTGCGTAACGTACAGTACATAATTATGTAACTAAATATTAAGCAGGCACGTAGCATCGTTTTTGAAGTGGGGAGGCGGGGGGGGGGGCAAGAGAAATTTTTTTTTACTTACCTGTATAAGTTGACAAGCAAAAAAAAAAAGGAAATTGCCCAAACTCGAAAATCCTATTTCGGGGGGTGGAGGTGGAGTGGGGGTTAGTGGCTAACTTTTTTCAAGGCCAACTTCCTTATACCTTCATTTTTTTTTTTTGGCATACAATACTACATTTCCTATCTATCACTATACTGTGGTTAGATGTGTGTGTGTGGGGGGAGGGCAACCAACCTTTCAATGGACATTTTCAATAAAAAATGTAATGTTGGGAGGAAAAAATGGGGGGGGGGGCCGGCCCCCGCTGCCCCCCCCCCCTCCGTTGCTACGTCCCTGTTAGGTCCAATGTGAACAACGTGTTAAGGTAGTCCAAACCTAAAGCTCTGAAAATCAGCTTTTCAAAAATTTAAAATGTTCATAAAACTGTCTGTTTTTACACGGTAGCATGTATTTATATATGCATGGTAACTCTTCAAAGTTCATCATTTTTATACTGAGTAGTTATTCATAATGATTAAAAGCACCAGGTTAATTAGAATTTTCTTAACAAAAATTGATAATCAAATATATTTTAGGACTAAATACTTAAGGTATCTAATACATTAGGAAAAAAGGATGTTTTTACACGTATTCATATGTACTTCAAGTGTTATATATAATACATATAGTGTTAAAAAAATGCTTTCATTGCCAGACGTATATGTATTGAAGATCTGCATCAGTTCTTATTTCAGATCATGCTATTATTGTGAGCATTGTTATCTAATGCTAGACTAAATGAAAATCGATTTCTTTATAAATTAAATTATTTTTACACGTTTATGGGTTCCAACTGTCAAGATTTTAAGATACCTTTTCAAAAGGGTCCTGTTTTCAATCATACATGGAAATTATTGAAGCTTTTTATCTTTAGGTGTGCTAGTACTTTCAGTACTTTCATCCAAACGAAGCATGTTCATTAAGATCGGGTTCAATATTACAAAAAAATTAAAGTTGCGTCAACCAATGAAAGAACAGTTCACATTTCTGGTGAAAATGAGTACCCAGAAGTCGTCGATGATAAACACAAGAGAAGAACTGAATGAATTAGTACGAAGGAGGACCGAAATAGCGGTAATTGTTATTCATACAAGTCATTCTATCTTTTACAAACTAGCCACTTGCGTTTAAACATAATCTGTGTCAACTGTTAACGAAAATATTGTGCTTATGACGCTGTTATGACGAGTATAAATGGCGGGTAAATCAATTTTAGTGAAAGAAAATGGGGCTGGAAGCAGAAAAGTAATGTAATTGAATGAAAAAAGTATATATGATCAGGAGATTCAATTCAATCCATTTAAATCCTGCTGTAACGGGAGAGGAGTAAAATGCAAAGGTCCAGATCAGGATTTGAACCCAAGCCCGCGGAGTCTCCAGTCAGATGCTGTACCAACCGAGCTTTCAGGCACTTGTTTCGTATTTATACTTTTAATTACCACAAGGTACCTAACTCAATTTTAGGCACCTCCGCTTCAAGTTCATATTTTGTTTATATGAATTATTTACCTACTTAAAAATGACATCGTTTCAGAAGTCTCTAATCGAGCCTCTTTATCGTAGACCATTCATTTATTCCTAAAAAATTACCTCTATACAAATTAAGGCATCTTATAAGATATATTTACTTCAGGTTGTGATTATAGATGTACGATAAAATCAGAGACCTCTGAATGAATACTCGGAAGTCTCTGGTTTTATCGTACATCTATAATCCCAAACTTATAATGTATCTTTTGAAGTGAACAATGTCATTTTAAAGTAGGTTAATGGCGTATACGAAACAAGTTTCTGTGACTGAGCTATCCAGCCACCGGTAAGTGAACCCGATGACCCCAAAACTATCAATTGATCCAAATTCTGGGAAGATATCTCTAATCACTGAGTGGCATTTGTCTGAGATTCATAAGACCTCACTACAAAAATTTTAGTTTCTACAAATCTCACTGAGGGCAGGCGGGTGCAGTTGTGTATTACAGGAGACCTTGTAACAGGTGGGGAAAAAGTGTCGGCCAGAGTGGGACCTCCCACTATTGGCTGCTAAGCGTGCCAGTGCTCTAACCACAAAGTTACCTGGTCGATGTACCCTATCCTCTGTTAGGTGTGTTCCCGTTTTGCACACATTTGGTAATTAGTATAGAACAACAGGTGTGAAGTGTGTTTTGATAGCAATTATAGTCTGATTTCTGGTTTGGATTTACCTGGATTTACCTGTGAATACCTGATTTAGATTAATGTATTCTTAAGAGGTTTAATACAATTTTAATAAGCATTTTATTGAAATTTATATTTTTTGAAAAATATTTGATTTTATTAATATTTGTTTAATATTATTTATTATTAAGTCCAATTTCTTAAAAAAAAGAATACGTACTTTTCAATCTTGATAAAATTCTACTGAACTAAAGATATAACATGTAATAAAGAAAATAGTGAATAAAAATTAATTTGAAAATAATGCACAAGCCAAGAACATGAAGAAGATGTTATAATAAGTTCACCAGATAATCAAATACCTTAACTTTGTATTTATTCTCTTATTTTTTCACTACAAGTTCACCTTTCACATACTAAGCTTAGTATGGTATAGACTATAGCAATCTCACCTGGTCAAATTCCTGTTTTTCACAGATATTTTAATTACCTGTAATTCAAATGTGTGCAAAACGGGAACAAACCCTCTGTTACACTCTTTCCTTCTCTTTTTTTTGAGGTTTTTCCATCCGGAAAGCATCATCAAGAGCCGGGGGCTCAGAAAATAGCGAAAACAGGGTGGTTATTTTGGTATTCTCTTCGTAATATTTAATATCATATCATAACTTCAAAAAATGTTTTGAAAAAAATTCAAAGAATCTCTAAATTAATGTCAAACTTTACTTTAAGTGAAGATAATCCACCCAAATTATGCTAAATGAATCATTTTCTGCCAGTTTCATTTTCACTTCCTTCAAATTTTTTCAGACTTTTGATACAATGCTAGACAATTTCAATCACTGTACAGGGGGGCGCTGATTTCCTGACCACTGAAAAAAGACTAAGGGGGGCGCTTATAGGGGCAGGGGCAGTTAATAGGGATCCCGAATTATACAGTATTTGCTCTTCTATTTCTGCCATGCTAGTTTTAAACTGGCTGTTCAAAGAGGAAAATTTGTTAGTTGGACCTCCAAATAAATATGACTGCATTTTAATTTTTTTTAATTTGCATTCAAAATATCGAACACTTAACATCTTAAGTCTTTATACACTATACTAAGATTTAAATCCATATTAAAATGTATTTTGATTTTTTTTTTTTCAGGATACCCTTGCCAATCTTGAAAGACAGATTTATGCTTTTGAAGGGAGTTATTTAGAAGATACTCAGCTCTATGGAAACATTATCAGAGGATGGGATAGATATTTAGCAAATACAAAGTATGAACAAATTAATACAAGGCTTTCTTTTGAAGGCGTGCTATGTAAACACTGAATGTTATTACATTCATTTAAAGCCGTCTTTAAATTTGTGAACAGGAAACATTCTGTTTTGGAGTTTAAATTTGTAGGTGTTCAATTTCAATTTTTTTTCTGTGGCAATTTGTGGCGGGAATCTGAATTCATGCACAAATAACGATTGCATTCAATTTCCTTAAAGTGAATTTCTAACACATATGAATTATTTATGTTTCGGTAAAGTGCAACATTTGCAAAAATACAGATGTATTGAGAATTAATATGAGTTATCCTCCCCTATACAGTATGTGCACACTTATAGTCAGTCAGGAGTAGTAGAAATCATGTTCATCCCCTCATATTTACATTAATCATATTTTAAATGTCAATAACCATTATCACCATGATTTTCATCATAGCAAATTTTGCCTAAAGTCAAAACCTTCTTTTAACTTAAATCTTATCTTTTCATGTGATTCTGAGATATCATGCTTAAAATATTCATGCATTTTGTCATTTCATGTTCATTTCATCCCCTATTAATCCCAAGCCAATCCACAGCCTCTTTTCTAGGAACACAAACAGTAAGGCAGACAAACGGAACAGGAAATTCAAGGAGGCCGATCGTCTCTTCTCCAAATCTTCTGTCACATCGGCTGCCGTGAGTCAATTTTATTATATTTAGCTAAAAATCTGAAATGCTGCTTCTTGCTCTGCTAAGCAGGATTTTCTGTTTGGATCAAAATGTTGCCAGTACAGATTTGAATTGTTTTCACAATACATTTTATCTGTATATTTAAATCATGTACCATGATAAATACCTTGATAGTTCATTTTGAAAGCACAGTCACTCATCAGGCATTGTAATACCAAAGAATGCAGATAATTAACCCATATCTTATAGAATAAATGTCTATAAGTAAAATTATTTTTTATTTTTGTAGGCTGTCAGTGGTATAGTAGATTCATTTGACAAAAACCGTAAGTATTTGGTTCATAAACTATACTTTCAGAATCATTGCTTTCTTAAACTTCAACTAGTTGAATTTAAACTAAATATGAAAAAGAAATGAAGAAACTGTAAACTGTAATATAGGCTCATGCCACTGAAGTACAGAATATTTTTAGAAAGTATCAAATCAAAATGTCATGGGAAGTAACTCTGTAAATGCATTGTAATTTACACAAAAAGTAGTAGAAGATTTAGTTAATTTTCTTCAAAGAGCTCACATCAACAAAAAAACTTCATTTTTTGTCAAAGATTGGAAACTGATTTTAAAAAATCTTGAACACTTAGTGTATTACAAAGAAAAAAATCACAGGATAACCGAATCATAAATGAAATTGTGAATTTTTGTGACAGGTGACCGAGACTGTCCGTCTAGTCCGGATTCCCAGAACAACCAGAACAGTGCCAACACACCACAGACAAACGGACAGTCCGACAGCAACGAGTCCAGTCACAACCACTCAGGGAAGCTCCACAAAGGGGGCGGGGTTATACGACACAAGAAAAATAAAAGCAAAAAACACAGGTGGGAATTCACTGTTACTGAAACAGGGACTTAATAGATTAATAATATTTTACTTTTATATGTTGGTTTTTATTTTCATTCATGCTATTTTGTGTGTGTATATTTTGGTATTATTTTTTCAGAGTTGAAGTGAAACTAAAAAGAGGAAAAGATGTAAGTTTATAACAATTATTGACAATCGACAAATATATAAAGTTATATAACTTTGTAAAAAAAGTTCTTACATTGAGATACATTTTAACATGAATAATCTTTGTACTTCAGAAATAAAAGTGGAAAACACTTGGAAAGGTATTGAGCAGTTGATGGTTCTTCAGAGCATTGTATTTCACACATCATATTTTCATTTCTGTGGTGTCTAGTTGCTAATATTATTATACATATATATTATCAATGTACTAAAGTCAAACAACTAATTTGACGAATTTACTTTGGTTTTTACGATTCCACAGGCAGAAAAATAACAATTTTCCACCCTTTTTCTCTTCATAATAGGGATTTCAGTAGGAATGAATTACAGTAAAATAGAATAAATTTCAATACCTTTTGGTACAATAAAATACAATCATATTGTGCACTATTTTTTTTTCCTCGATGGGGAGATTGTACATATACATGTATACCATTTACCCAGTACATATGCTTTAATCGTTTAATGGTACATCCAGAACTATAAGAACTATTTTCCAAAATTTTTATATGATTTACTTAAAAGATAATTAGTTTCAAATTGGTAAAATGACTGTTATGTGCACTTTATACACTTAAATTTAGTGGCTTTTTTCCTCCCGGAACATTCTTTTATTCACTTTTGTCTATGTAGACACTATTATTCTGTAGAAACCTCACACACTACAATGTCCTAATAATCATACCAAACAATCTGTTTGGATGAAACTAAAAAACAATCTGTTTGGATGAAACTAAAAAGCAACTACATTGTACTATAATACTAATTATGCCTTCCAAAGTACATGAACATATGCATAAGACCCAATGTTCAAGCCCTAAATTCCAGTACTATATATTGTATTGCTGTAAAATCGTTTATTTTTGAGGGATCAAATTTTCATGGTTTGAGGGAAATATATTGGTTCTTTGGGAGTTGATTTCATGGGTGAAGAATTGTTAAGTTAGTAATATATTTTGAAAAATTGCATTTTATGATGGACATAAATTTATAGCCTCATAGGTCTCTTCATACCTTGAAAACAACGAAAATTAAACCCCCATGAAAATTAGTGATTTCACAGTATGCACATCATATATTTGATATGTTTATTCCGTGCTTCTGCCAAATGTAATGTATACTGTCTGGCTAGACAATTTAAAATCTTTATTGTGTAGGCATCCTTAGATTTCATTCCCTATATTTATAAAATTGACCCCTGTAACAACCTCAGATTCTCAAAAAACACAAAATAAATGAAATCCAGTATATCAAATTTGAAGATTGCTTAAAAAATTAAAGATTAAATAATGCTAAATTGCTTAAATTCTTTAGCCTCTCAAGCTTTGAAAATACATTTTGTTTAAATTTATATATTTTTATAATAAATACAAAATTAAAGTTTTCTTGGAGTGAAGAGTGCATTTTTACTGTCATTTAAGGCTTATCTGTATAAGTACCAAGTAGAATTTTCTGGCCCTTCCCCATCCTGTCTTTCAAACCTCAGTAATGTGTAGTCAAAACAGTGCATTCAGCTCTGTTTCATAGAAACTTCAAGATATCACCAACATCATACAAAGATACATGTACATATGATAGAACAATTCAATTGTGTCATAAATTTTCTGACCTTAACCTCCCTATCACCTTGACCTTATTTTCTGTCCTTTGTCTTGACCTTATTAAAAATTCAATACTAGATATTATCATCAAAATTCGTACACTTGATGTTTAATTTGGCAAGAAGGATTGAACTTTTTTTAAAACCTTGTTTACATACATGTACCCTAATACAGTGTATATTTATATTTTGTTTTATGACTTCATCATTCCCCATTTTGAGTTTAACTTAGATTCCAAAAAACTTATTCAGCATACCGTATATATACTCGCCTATAAGTCTGTCCGCCTATAAGTCGGTTGTATTTAATAAGCTTATATCTCAGAGGGACTGACCTCATATAATACCCTTCATTTTATAGCTCGCCTATAAGTCGGACATAGAGTTTTGGACATTAGATTAACTCCCAAAAATCTGACTTATAGGCGAGTGTATACGGTACTACAGTGGCTGCAACGTTATTGTTGACAACTTACATGAACGATCACGTTACACGAACAATTCCGCACGATTAACGCACGATTAAACCTGTTACACGAACGATCCTTCTCGCAAACGATTCTATACTTTACACGATCTTACACGATTGCTAACGCAAACGCACGATTCTTCACTCAAAATATTTAGGAATCGATGTTTTCAAAACGAAATACGAATAAATACTGGTTATAGATTTCAAAGTATTTTCAATATTAAAGTGTATTTCATAGACTTTGAAAAAAAATGGAAATGGATATTTCTGTAATCTAATACATGTAAGACTTATTTTTTATTTGAGATTATAAATTATTATTATTTTAATAGGAAATTCTCCGATCTAAGAAACGGATTTTTTCGCTCTATCAGAAGATGCACGTGCAATTGGACTGTAAAATTTGATTGAATTGGATTTTATAATATGCAGAAAGGGGGAAACAATTAAAAAAAATATGGCAGCATCGAATGATTTGAATTACATGCTATATCCATGTTTCCATTGATGCAATATATGTGATTCTCTAAAATGAACTTGCCAATTATTTCGCATTTTTTATTAGCAGAAATTAAATAAAATAATTAAAAGTACATAACAGAAAAAGTTACACTGATAAACAAACCCCTGAAAAATCATGTCGAGTGCATTTATAATTATTCACGGACTAAATATTCATGTAAGTATTGAGAAATGATTTTTTAAATTGTAAAACAATTATTCATTTTTGATGACCTGATTTTAAAAATATCATGAGCACAATTAGCAGTTAACAAGAATGAAAATCAGAGAAAAAAGTATTATATAACATCTAAGTAACTACAGATCGCGCTATTTGACGAGAACATTATATTGTACGACTTACTATATTGCTTGTTTACGAGCGATAATTAGTTTGTTCTGCATTCAATTATGCAAATCGCGCTTCATATATTTTATTTGGATTTTAAAAAATAACAAATGAAATGCTTGTTTAACAAAGAACATTCTGTTAAAAACTTACAAAACGAAATGTACATGTTTCTAAACGCACGATCGCGCACGATTAATACTGCAAACGATTGAGTCTGATACACGCACGATCTTGCACGTTACATGAACGATCACGCACAATACACGAATGATTCTACACGATTGGTTTGTCAACAATAATGTTGCAGCCACTGTAACTTCAAAATTCCTTGTTACCCCAGGATACAGAGATACCATTTGATGCTAGCTATTAATCTGTGTCTTATCTTTTTGGGGCAGCAATGTTCTTTGAAATCAATTTACATTTTACTTATTTTTTTATTTTTTTAAAATCAGCTTTACATAATTATGCCCCCTTTGAAGAAGGGATGGCAAATTGCTACTGTGTGTCGGTTGGTTGATTGGTTGGTCTGTCTGTTGGTCCACCATCTGTTCCATTTTTTTCTTTGCAGAGGTTGCTTATATTGAAATAAAATTTGGTATACAGAATTATCATAAGAATATCTAGGTCAAGTTTTGTTTTGGGTACAATCGAGCCATTTTGGACAGAGATATTCCCCTTGGACTTGAATTTCAATAATTTGGGGGGGGGGGGGGAGCATAAGCGTTTTGCAAGTTGTACATCTTTGGTTAATATAGCATTACACAGCATAGCACTGAAATTAACATTATACACATACCTTTTTGAATTGTACATATTTGATATTAACCATTTTATAGTGCCGTGGTGTGTTTTGTGTATTGGGTTTATTTAGAATTGCCATTGTATATTTTAAAATTCTATTTAGGCAGTTTCTATTTGGAAGTTACACATGTAGTACTTGGAAATTTGCTTTACATAACCAAGAAACAACTCTTTCTTCTTCATAGTTTAGAATAAAAGTAAATGACATATTTTTATTGGTTACTCATCTGAAATATTGGACATTTTCCAGGCCTTTTTACGATATTAATATTTTACGTTCCAGGCACCTAAGATATATCAAAATTGTAAAAAAAAAAAAAAAAAAAAAAGCCTTTAAGAAAACTTAAGTTATTTTGGACTAAATTGTTACAAATTCTGCTTTTACATTTGTGGTATGTTAATGAAAATGAAAAATTTTGCAGTATTTACCTTTTCTTTGCAAGTATTACAATACTGTATTTAGACTTATTTTTGTCCCCAACCTCAGAGTAAAGAAAAATTTATAATTGAATTAAAAGATTGAAGAAATAATATTTTTTCATGTTTTTGACAGGTATCAGGAGAATAAAGGAGAATATAATGGTCATGTAATATTTAGTCCAGTATTTAAACCACATCTCATTCATCACTACGTGGGAATTCTGTGATGGAACCTATCGTTTTTGTGGAAGAGACACCATTCAGTTTTCAGTGTATGAATTCTACCAATGTTTCTATCAATTGGAACTTTAGAACATACTTTGTTCAGCGACTGGAACAGGAATGAGGAAAAATATTAAAAAGAACAAATATATATAATTGTAAGACGCTTTTATATGGCTTATTGACCTAACACTACTACATTGTATTAAGAATATTTTGTGACATGTAGTGATCTATGATCATATTCTGATCTGTGTCAAGTTCTTTCATGTTGATTCAAGTTCATGTTATAGGAATCTCTCAGGATGAGATTAAATAATACAGTAACTTCATAAGTACTTTTTTTCTGCATATCATTGTCTTACAGCTTTGAGATCTTTTTTCATTTACCTTTTGCCATTGATCAAATTTTGTGTAACATGATGTTTCTCAATTTTTCATGTCTTTTTTCTTCTTGTTTTGGTTGAATAATCATGATAATGCCATATTTATTTTAATTGTTCAGCAACAATTTATGTATGTCTTGAATGAAAATTTAGGAAACATCTTTGGATTTATACTAAGAAATATTTTTACAGATTATTGTAAAGTTTAGACAATGCAGTCGATTAGTTCCAAGTACTAGTAGGTCTTTTAACAGAATAAAACTTGAATGCATTGCAATGGAGATTCATCTCTGAAACTGTTGTAAAAATCTTGGTAATAAATTATTTTTAAAACTCAGATATTATTATGTCTCTTTTTTTTAAGGTGAAAACACAATCATTTTTCAGCCCTTACTAGATTAAAGAATATTGGCATGATGTGAAGAAACTTGCTTGTTTTTTAAATTCTTTTTTGTTAGAGAATTATTTTCTGTTTGTCATACATTGCATTTTTTTTTGACAAGTTCGGATAACCAAAATTAAAAAAAAATGGATTTTTTTATTCCTTTTAATTTAATTTATAATTTAGATAGGACTTTTCTGTAGAAGCCAGTTGATGTCACGGAGAAAATTTTTTTACAATAAACTGGCAGGCGCACACATAATTTTTGAAACCGTCTTCCGTGCTTTTCTATAAATTTTGCAATTAAAATCATGCATTTGTGTCAAACATCATAAATTTAAAACCATAACATATTTATTTACCAATTCCACAAAAATAAGAGTTTTGTGTAATTCTAACTGTAGAAAGGTGAGGTTATTCTACTTTAAAATCTGTGAACATTTTAATTTGAATGAAAAAATTACTTAAATTATGTACACTCAGTCTTGTATTGTAAAGATTTTTAAGCTCAGATATGCCATTAAGAATTATACTTGCAAGTGTTGATTTATTTCATGAAGTGAACATTTTTGGAATTGTGCTTAAAGAAAATTTGTGTATACATGTATTTATCTTGCAAAAGTTGTTGTAAAAAATTTTGGTAATAAATTATTTTTGAAAGGGACACTTTTCTTTAATTTGAAAAAAAGGTAGAAAATGTTAAAATGTTGTGTTTTAACTGTTTTCTTCTTAAGAAAAAGTTATTCATTGATTTTTGATAAACATCAGCTCAAAGATATCCAGAAAAGTTTCAAGTTTCAGTTGATACACTTCAGTGCAGTCTTAAAAAGAAGGTGTCAGCTTTTATGCATCTAAAAAGCCAGCATCCCAAGGTGTAGTTTAGATTAAAGTCGGTGCATAACCACAGGGAAAATGAGACTTGGAACAGTCAATTTTATCCAGCTATTTGGCATTCACAATCATTGTAGACTTTTTAAAGTCCCATTTGAAGCAAATCTTATTGATAGCGATTTTGGAAGTAAAGGTAAAGAACAAAAAATGATTTATTTTGATTCATGAAGGAATTTGTTACTGTACTTTTTTAAAGAAGGCAAAGGGAAATATTCAATGTTTACTTGCTGAATATGGTATTCATTTCACTCGTTAAACAGGAGCTAGTGTAAATATGAAAGAAAATCCTGACCACTCGTAAAATATATTACGTATTGTTAAATATGTCTATAAGACTATGATAAAATAATTGAATTTTCTCTCTATTGTATTGTCGTTTATTTTCCCGTTTCCTTTGAACGACTTTTGGTTACAGAGTCTTGGGCTCTGAGGTCTTATGCAGTTGTGTGCCTGAGGCGAATAGCGATTGTGTGATTGAAAACATGGATTTCAATAACATATGAAAATTTTGGCAGTGCTACTCAGTCAAGATGGTTTATTTATTTTCATGTGATTAAACAGGTCAGAATTTTTTATAATGAAATATGGAGATAACGAATAGTAATCAAAATGGCAAGTTCAGTAATGCAATACAGATCGGGGGGAGAACAAACAGACCAGGCATCATGATCTGATATAGGATCCGGTGCCGTGGAGGGGTAAACATCCCTGTAGACAAATCACACCAACCATATACTCTTCGTCTTGTTCGTGTAAATGGAAAAATCCTTCGACAAATCATTCAGTGTGTAAATAATGGTTTATTAACGATTGGTATGAAAAACATCAGTCAACAATGGACATAATGATAGATTCAACAATTTATCATTGAGTCAAATGCTGACTGACGTTTTTCATACTAATTGTTAGTCCATTATTTAAACATTAAATTGACGACGGATTTTTTCCCGTCATTTCCCGATCATGACAAGGAGCACACGGCGGGTGTAACCGGTCGGCAGAGGAGGCTCACTCCTCCATGGTACCTGATCCCACCTTCGATATTTTGGAGGTCCGTGTTTGCTCTGCACCTGACTTGTATTGTTTTATGGACTTTTGAGCTTGAATACTGTTCCTTCGTTATCTCCATATGTTTCATTGCATGTATTTGCTGACAAGGACATTGTATCGACCCTAGAACTTACAACACTCTTTATTACGGGAAGGAAAATCTCGAGTTTTTCCGCCGCACTTCTGATATTCTTTCACACTGTAACGAAATATGATTTTCTTTTACTCTGTGAAAAATGTCACTCTTATTCAATAAATTAACTACAGTATCTCATTGATGAAAACGTATAATAAAAACAACTGAATTTATTCAATTATGCAATTCAACATACTCATACACCAAATGAAATGAAAGGATTCCAAGTTTTTTTGAATTCACATCGCTAAAAAGATCAAAATCCATAAAATTGATACAATAGATGCTATATATCCATACACCAAAAATAAGCTGCAATAGGTTTTTATGTCTTCACAATGACGTAGAGTGGATATAAAAACTCCATAAGATATATATTGTGTGTAAACATGGATTTCAACAACAAATTGAAAAAAAGTTGATATTAAGTCAGTTTCATGATGGTCCTTTTCATTCTTTCAATCTTTGCATTTTCTACCTTGTTTGATTCAGCAGATGAATTACAATGTTTCACAGTTAAAAATCAAATAAACAGAAAACATACATGGTATCTATACACAAATTGTAACACAGTAATGTTTGACTCAGGTACACAGTGGTACATTCTATTAAATATAAAGATTTTTCGGGAAAAATTTGAATAAGAACAGAAGGGAACTATATACACACAAAGATATTTATAATATATAATTATTTAATACCTTCAGGAACAGTCATTAATATCACATCTCTAATAAAACAACAAAATTCGTTTGATAAGGTAATAACTACATGTGCTCGTACATCTACAATATGAACTGTAGTACGGACACATCTAATTCCTCATGTTCTCTCAATCTTGTTTGCTTCTTCTCTGCGTTTCATAAACAAGACTCGTACTTCACTTCCCACTCAAAGTCACAAACTTTGGTATCAACACAAAAAACACACAGACTTGAGGAGTGAGTGGGGTGGATGTGGTGTATCTTTTATTTCAATGTTCAAATCTTTTTAACTTGTTGAAAAAAATCGTTTAATTGTGCATAGATTTTACATGTAAGTTAATTTGAACATTTATCCTGACAAATTAGTGTATATGATAACTGTATACCAACATGCGATATATGTCATGAAGCATAAAATTAAAAAAAAAAAATAACCTCAGCATTGGACAAACACTCATCGTCAATTGAAAGTTTTAGTACAAAATTTTGCATAGTTTGATAAATTGTCAGGGTAATCATTCTACAAACACTCTTTTACTGGCATGTTTCTCTGGTAAGCGATACATTTATAATGCAGGTAAATGTTCTCCGGGTTCTGCATCACCGGGTTTTTTTGCAAGTTTTGCTGATCTATACTTTGTGATTGTTCGTAACTTCATATTTACCACAGTTCTTTGTAGATGTCTAAAAAAATAACAAAATCAATCTTTCAATGACATAATCAAACGTTTTGTCATACTATGGGTGCAACAACATAATCTGGCGAGGCTTTTTTTTTTTTTTTTTTTTTTTTTTTGCAAGACAAAATATTCAGGAAGTTTTGCTCTTTGCAAGGGTGTCTTATAGCTAGGGATGTCAATTAATTGACTTACTATCTAATAAGGAAATACTCCGCTAGCATTTTTATTATTGGGTTATAACAAAAACTAATGCATACCCACAGAAGCATTTCAAACACAGTACTGTCACTACAGATAGAACCACAACAGGGATTACTATAATGAGGGCAACTTCCCATTCTTTCAAGCTGAAAAAAAAATAATTACAAATTCAATAAGAACAAATTATCATATTTTAATGAATTTATAGCAAAAAAGAAGGGGGTCATCAATTCGTGTCAAACCGTTCTTCAGGGTCACATAATGCTGATGAATTTTATTACCGGGATATTAAGAATGTTCTTCTTTTACACTAATTAATCTCATTCTATATTCACTTGACCGGTATTTATTCTATACTCATGTGTCAAGCATTTAACTATTTAGTGAAGACTTTATGTTCTTAATATTTTTCAAAAACAAATGGATTGTAAGCATAATCGAACAAGTTATTTTGGATTTCAAAGGTAAACTAGAACTGTATAATTCAATACGTGCGTTAATGACCCCCTCCCTCCCCCCACCCTGGGACGTCAATTCTGGGCCCAGCTGAGCAAGAGGAAAAAAAGGGGAAAACCCCAGATATTTTCAATATACATATAGCTTTATCATAAGGAAGCAATATAGAGGGACGTGGACACAACTTGACACAAATTTTTGATGAGCAGTTATGATCATTATGATGAAAAGTTATGAAGGATTTTTTTAGAGGGGACACAACCATAATTTAACTTTGTTTTCTATTGTTTAGCATATACTTGCAAAATTATAACGGGCACAGTTAAAAACAAGATGGTATCTTTTTAAAAAACAAAACGGAACGTATCCCCTTCCTTACCAATATTAAGGAATGCACCCATGTGTACAAAATTTCAAGTCTTCATGACAGAAAGGGCTTTGTCTATGAATAAATAAGGAGAATTTCGAAGAATCCCTTTATTTGATGGTTTTGCCTTCGCCCTCCATCCCTGCCGCATGTAGGACCTTGATTAATTATATACAGTTCGAAGACATTGACATTATC